AGAGACATTGTCAGTCCACAGTGCTCATGCCTGGAACCTGAATCTGGAGGAAAAGCTCATTTTCCTTATGGTCAATTTACCATTGCTGGGCTTCCCTGAAGTCCCCTTTAAGTAAGAGAGAATGGCAAACTGCTCACAGTACTAGGTATCCCATGTTTCAGTCTATTGCCCACTCCATCTGCTTCTTTCATTCTTCCAACTGCTACTCCATGACTGCTCACTCATTCAACTGTGCTGTGCCCGATGCTGTTGGCACAGTTCCCACTGCTGCTCCAGTCTGCCTGCCCGTGCTGCCCAGGGTATTTGCCTCCTCTCCAAGGCGACCTGTCCTCCACTTCCTCAATGCTGCTTGTATTTCCTGCTGGCATTCACACTGTTCAGGGTTCAATCGATATGCCCATTTCAATTATTTTTTTAATATCTTTGCACTGTTGGTTGTTGGTGTGCACTCTTTTTTGTTTGTGTTATTTTAAAGAAGGGAAATCATGGCTATGTGAAATTCATATTGACTGTAACAGTGTTCCGGATATCTGGAAATTTCAAATCCCAAGGGCTGTTCTGAATCTGAATTTTGGTGCTAGTGCACATCCCTAGTTTCCACATGCTTCAGGCAATTTATTTAGCTGTGTGTTATCTTTATATTTATTCTAGTTCTGGACCACTGCATGGGTAAGATTGTGCTGAGGGCAGTACAATGTATTTCAGATTCTGAGAGAGTACAGAAAATTTCTGGATAATTCCTAAGAATCTCAGATTTTATTTTTGTATTTGTAGAAACATTGATCCTTTATTGCTGTGAAGACATGTTTGAAAGCACTGAAAACTTGAGTCTAGATTTTCTCAGAAACCAGAGTGGAACCTGTAGGCAGGGTTAATCACCTCACATTGTCTCTTCCCTTTATGAGGAGTAAACAATGCAGAACTGCATAAAAATTGAGTGAATTATCTAGGAAAAGAGAAATAATTCAAAATCTGCTGTTCTCAGTTCAACGCAGACAGAAGTTGCTGAATTCTGCTTTTCCATTGTGCAGAATTCAATTCATGTGGACACAGAAACAGCCACAGAACTGTTTACAGGCACAATTCAAAGTCCTGGTTCTAACCTGTAAAGCCCTAAATACCTTGGGTCCAAGCAATCTCAAGGACTGTGTCTCCTTTTATGAGCCTGCCTGAGTGTGAACATCACCAAGAGAGGCCTTTCTCTCAGTCACACTACCGTCACAGGTACTTTTGATGGGGGCAAGGGAGAGGACCTTCTCTGTCGTGACTCCCTCCCACAAGAGGCCAGGCTGGCCTCACCTTTGCTGTCCTTCTGCAAGTAGACACAGACCTTTCTCTTCAGGCACGCTTTCCCTTAGTGCCTGGTTGACTGACTGAGTGGGTTTTTTAAATGAATTGTTGTTCCTTATTGCTTTTCTTGTGGTTTTGGTGTTGCTTTTGTTTACAGTTTTTTAGTGTGCTATTTGTCCGATCCTTTGTACTATGTGTAACTGTTTTTAGCTTTAAATGTCTTTTAATGTTGTAAGCTGCCTTGGGTCTTTTTTAAGGAGAAAGACTCCATTTTCCTTGTTCTGCTTCTTTTTGCTAAGTGTTCAAGAATAAAGGCCTTCGCATTTGATGCTTGTTCACACTGAAAAACACATTGAATCTACATGGCAAATAGATACTGTTAAAGCTATTGTATAGTAGCAATCAGTCGCCATTGTTCTCTAATTTCTTTGTATGCATTGAGGAGAGGCTAGTAGCAGCTTTCTTTCATGACAGTTAGGCTTAGCAAAGCCAGAGGGGAAGAAGATGTGCATATCCTAGTAATCCTAGTAGATTTCTGGGTGATTTGTAGTAGATCAGCAAGGATTTTTGACAGCCAAAGCCAAGGTGGGGGCTGTATAGACTTTTCTCTTTATAGAAATGGCGTTTGCATTCTAGTTCAACAGGAAAAATCTTGACAGTGATGATTTTCAGTAATTAGACTTCCCTCCATCCCACAACTCCCAGGGCTCCCACATAATTAAATGGATCCCAGGGGAACCTCAGGACAGGGAGATCAGAAATGTCTAATTTCTGAAAAACCACCACAGCTAATAACTTGTGTAGCCTAGGTTATGCAGTTAAAATGTAAAAATGCCATTATATTTTTTGCTTCTTAACTGAAATATAATAACGTAAGAAGAGCTCCGCTGTCTATCTTCCTCTATCTCATACTGGTCCCACCAGATGTCTCTGGGAGCACACGAGACAACTAGATACTTGTCTCCTGATACCCCTCCCCTGCATCTGGCATTTGGAGGTACCTCCCTTTTAAGCCTGGAGATTATACATCCCCTTCATAGCTTGTAACCTGCAATGGACTTTTTCTCCAGGAATCTGTTCGATCTCCCTTTAAAGGCACCTAGGGCAGATGCTATCACCACATCCTGTGGCAAGGGGTTCCACAAACTACCAACACGTTGGGTAAAGAAATATTTTCTTTGATCTATTCTCACTCTCCCAACACTCAATTGGAGTGGCTGTCCCCTGGTTCGGCTATTGCGTGAGAGGGATAAGAGCTTCCCTCTATCCACTTTATCCATCCCCTGCATCATTTTATACGTCTCAATCATGTCCTCCCTCAGGTGCATTTTCTCTAGACCAGAGGTCTCCAAACATTTCAGTGAGAGGCCACATCATAGCTCCATATTTTTGAGGGCTGTGCACACTCCTGCACACAACCATCTCCGCATGTACACACATCCACACTCATGCACACCCACCTAGCCACATCATAGCTCCATATTTTTGAGGGCCGAAGGAAGACACATGACTTTGCACACTCCTGCACACAACCATCTCCACATGCACGCACACATGCACGCACATCCACACTCATGCACGCCCACCTACTGGGCCAGATAAAAAGGCAAGGCAGGCTGGATGTGCCATAGTTGGAAGACACCTGCTCAAGACAAAAGAGCCCCGAACACTGTAGCTTTTCCTCATAAGGGAGGTGCCCCAGAGAACTGCCGTTTTGCCGCCCATTCTCCCAGTTTGGAGAGATCCTTCTGGAGCTCTTCACAATCCCTTCAGGTCTTCACCACCCGGAAAAGTTTTGCGTCATCTGCAGACTTGGCCACCTCACTGCTTATCCCTGTTTCCAGGTTATTTATGAATAGGTTGCAAAGCACTGGTCCCAGGACAGTTCTCTGGGGCACACCGCTTTTCACCTCTTCCCATTGTGAAACGTGTCCATTGACACCTACTCTCTGTTTCCTGGTTCTCAACCAATTCTCGGTCCATAAGAGGACCTGCTCTCTTATCACCTGATTGTGGAGTTTTCTCAGCAGCCTTTGGTGAGGGACCATGTCAAATGCCTGAAAATCCAGGTATAACTGAAAGTTATATCTTGTTTCGGTACAAGAAAAATATATAATTTCTCTACTACATTTTTTTTCAATGCCTCCAAGCTGGCAACCCTAGAACTGTCCCTGGCCCACTAGGAATAAAATATGCCAGTCTGCCAAATCAGACTGTTTGAGAAGCACTGAATTACGTTGTAATTTCTGATTAGTTCTAGTACTTAAAGCTAATTCCTGTTCTTAAATCTTTTGCATCGGCCTCCAGTTCATGGGCCTCTCGGTTTAGTAAAAACAAAATAGATCCTGACTTCTTTGTGAAAATCTGAAATCTCAATAGTCACCATACCTTAATGCACATGTGATCCTTATCAATACACAAGTTATTTGAAAAATAAGATAATTTCAAGAGTCTTAAGTACACATTGAAAAAGATGAGAAATACAAAATAAATTCATATCAAGCACTGAAATAATTTTGTTGTTTTTAAATGATTCGTTAATTTCCCCTATATTTAAATCTCCTGTGAAAAGAAGAAACAACATAATAAAGTTTAACAGGGATAAGTACAAGGTACTGGATCTAGGAAAAAGAAATCAAACACATAGTTACAAGATGGATGATACCTGGCTTAGCAATACTACAGTCAAGAAGGATCTTGGATTCATTGTGAATCCAAGGTGAAATTGTAGATCATAAGTGGCTACAAAAAAGGCAAATGCTATTTTAGGCTGCATTAACAGAAGTATAGTTTCCAAATCCCACAAGATATTAGTTCCCCTCTGTTCAGCGTTGGTTAGGCTTCATCTTGAGCATTTTGTCCAGTTCTGGTCACTGCACTTCAAGAAGGATGCTGACAAATTGGAACAAGTCCAGAGGAGGGGAACAAGGATGATCAGGATATTGGAAACCAAAAGACTGCAAGAACTGGGCATGCTTAACGTTGAGAAAAGAAGACTGAGGGGAGATATGATAGCACTTTTGAAATAGTTGAAAGGCTGCCATTCAGAGGAGGGGCATGATCTGTTTTCAATCATCTCAGAGTGCAGGACATGTCATAATGTGCTCAAGCTACAGGAAGCCAGATTTCAGCTGAATATCAGAAAAACTTCCTATTAGAGCAGTGTGACAGTGGAACCAATTACTTCAGGAGGTGGTGAGTGGTCGAACACTGGAGGCATTCAAGAGAAGTTTAGACAATTACGGGAGGCATTCAAGAGAAGTTTAGACAATTATGTGGCAGATGTCCTTTGATTTGTATTCCTGCGTTGAGCATGGAGTTGGACTTGATGGCCTTATAGCTCCTTCCAACTTCATCATTCTATGATTCTGTGAAACACAACTATCTCTTTCCTGAAGAGCAAAAAAAAAACAACAACAAAAAACAAACAAACCCTCGTTCCATCCCATTTCTCAAGGAAGAATAATCTCTGTTTGCTTGCCTGCCTGCCTGCCTGTGATGCTGGCTGGCTGACTCGCTTGCCTGCCTGCTTGCCTGCCTCCTGCCTGCTTGCTTGGGAAGTGTTGTCTTTGATATGAATTAATTTCTTTCAGATGCTTTCCTACAGACAGCTATTCAAGATTACTCAAGAATGCATATAGTTACCGAGTTGTCTCTACAGAAGAAAATACAGAAATAATTAAGTAAATAGCTTTTAATTTTTCTTGAAGGTGGAAGAGATGGTGCAGAATCACATGACGTATTCATTACAGGATGTAGGAGGTGATGCTAATTGGCAACTAGTGGTTGAAGAAGGTGAAATGAAGGTAAACAAAACATGATATTCTGTTATTTTTGAAATGTAAACTAAAATTAATGTTATACTAATGCAATAAATGGAAATTGTTATACAGTATACAAAAGGGTTTTTTAAAATAAAAATGATGTAAAGCAATGATTATATTTAGGACCATTTCTTACTGGCACTCCAATTTGTAAGCACATTGCACATAAAGTGAATATGCAAATAGCAGAGGTAACAGAATTTAATCTTACTGTAATTTTTGTTCTTTTTGGAGGATATCTGCTTATTTAACAATCATGTCCAATGTGTCTCTCATTAAAACAAACAACTATTACAAATTATAGCATGTTTTGGCCCAGTGTTTTTGTAATCACTTTTTGATAACTATACAAGTCGCTTGAGCTGAGTCAGTGAATAGATCACTGGTCTTATTCAGCTGAATAATTCTATAGCAGAGTTGGAATCTGAACAATGAAGTGACTGACTCTGTGTGTTGATTCATATGCTTTGTATTCTTCTTCAAATTGCTGGGTTTTTTAATGTTTACAAATGGCATTACAGTGTTTCCCTCATATAATTAAAATACTATAAATATCTAGAGTTCTTTTTATTGCTCATAAGGTAACTCCATTTCCTGTGGGATCCAGTGATTAAATAGATTTAGATTTAAGCACAGCAAATGTTCTCTAACATCTTTTGTTTCTTCAAAGGTATACAGGAGGGAGGTGGAAGAAAATGGCATTGTTCTGGATCCTCTGAAGGCCACACATGCAGTCAAAGGAGTTACAGGGCATGAAGTCTGCCACTATTTTTGGAATGTTGATGTTCGTAATGACTGGGAAAGTAAGTAACCCCACTGGTTATGTCTGTTGGTGTCACTAGTATATAAAAATTACTTGTCCAATTATTTTGTTTTGATTGTTGTCTCTTTTCCCCCTCATTTTTAGCAACCATTGAAAATTTCCATGTAGTAGAAACTTTATCTGATAATGCACTCATAATCTACCAGACACATAAGGTAACCTTTTCTATTGCTATATAATACAGTGCCTTAAAACTGCCAGTTACCTTGTATGTTTCAGAGAGCTTACCACTTAAAAGTGGTAATCCTTTCTGGTGTGGTTTGACCTATGACAGCATTGTTGCACTCTGTGTAGCAGGCCAGGTCAGATAAGGAAAGAGTTAAATTTGTTGTTTTAAAACTAGGCAGGGACAGTTTAGAGTTGTTTTCTTAATCATTCTTATGGTGGTTGTTGCATGAGGGGAAGGACATTCATGTAACCAATCTTTCCGAGGACCTTTTGCCCTCCAAAAAGTCTCATCAATCAGAGTGGGTATCCTGCACATCTTGGTCTGTGCCTCCGTGAGATGCTATCAATGTAGGGCATTGCCTAAAATCTCTGTCCAGTTTTGGGCAAGCCCCTTTCGCCTTGCAACTCTTTCCAACATGGGCTGTAAAATGCCCTGCTTATATACTGCCCCATAGTGCTTAAAGCATTCACATATACTGCCCCATGGTGCTTAAAGCATTCACAGCAGTTTACAGTTTAATTATGCAGGCTACACATTGCCGCCTCCTCATATGCCTATCGCTCCAGAAAACCTCCCTGGCCACTCTCTACCCATGCCAGATGCTATAGCCATGAATCAGCCAGGGGGCAGAGCATTCATGGGCTTCATAGGACCTGGTCACCTGCTTTCCTCATCAAAGGAAAGATAACATGCAGTGCTCCAGAGTCTACTAGACTCCAGCTGCCCTCCTTTGGAGACTTTGTAGAACAAGGCATTGTGGGCTGAGTGTCATAGAGATTACACATACTGCAATAGTACAAGCAATTTTAATCCCCCCTTCCTCCGCCTATGGTGTCTTATTCTGAGGGGGAAAAAACCCTGTGCCAGGTATTTAGAATGTTGTAAGTCGTACAGAGAGATGGCTGGGAAGGAGTAAAGTTCAGAACAGTGCCCATGAGGAACAGAGGGCAGCAAGGATACCTTCAGACAACTACTAGATATAGCTCATGATTACTCAAGTTATCCATCTGTTTAAATCTTTATATGTCAGTCAGTTAATTCCTCAGTTATACCTTGACTAATCTGCAAAGCAGTAAAACTGTGTGCAAGATATTCTGATGGTTTTTTTTCCAGTTGATGCAAGCATTTCTTGCTACAACAATCCTCTTTTAAAAAGCATTTTAGTGGGGAGAATGGCAGTAGAGGCATTGGAATGCTTGTTCTAAAATACTGCCTGGCACACATCGTTTCGTCGTTTAGTCGTGTCCGACTCTTCGTGACCCCATGAACCAGAGCCTGGCACACATCTTGTATTATTACTTTTTTTAAAATCCCAGTTTAATCAGAACATTGTTTTAACCACTATGTCATGAAACTTCAAAGCCTTTAGCATCACCATGTTTCTTTGGAAGCTAAAAGTAGGCTATAAATCAGTGCATTAATTTAAATCTCTTTTGATACGAACTCACTTGGTAACCTTCAGAAAACTGTTCTTTCATAGACTGAGCAATATGGAAGTAAAAGTAAAGGGCTACCTTACAAGGTTGTTGCAAGAATTAAAACAAGGTAATATCTGCATGAAGTGCTTTGCACACTCTAACGTGCAATATAAACGCCTGCTGTTTTTCTTTTCTTTCCTTGTAGAGAGTATGGCCTGCTTCTCAACGTGATGTGCTATATTTGTCTGCTATTAGAAAAATACCGGCTTTCAATGAAAATGACACCGAGACATGGATTGTGTGCAACTTCTCTGTAGAGCATGACAGTGCTCCTGTAAGTACATTTCCCACTCCTCCTTGTTTACTGCTTAAACATTGTAGCACAGAAGACATGCATATCAGTCAAAAGAAAAGAATAATGCAGACAGCAGAGAATCTTAAGAATACATGGAATTAATAACTTTCTTTTATCTGAACTGAGAATGGAGAGGCAGTGTGTGTTACAACATGCTTTCATAATCAGTACTGAATCAAGATAACAATCTAAATGTTTATGTTTCTGAACAGTTAAACAATCGGTGTGTTCGTGCCAAAATAAATATTGCTATGATATGTCAGACGTTGGTAAGTCCACCAGAAGGAAACAAGAAAATAAGTAGAGACAACATCCTATGCAAGATTACATATGTAGCAAACGGTAAGGCATGTGTCTTTTTTACAAGTTCAATTTATATTTAGCTATGTTGTCATATTGGGCAAAACAGCACTACATCGCCCTCTAATAATAAAATAGTAAACACCATCAAATTGTTACTTACATTATTTATATACATGTCAGTTTGCACCAATCTAATTAAAATCAGATAAAAAAAACACTTTTTATAACAACATTTCCTCATCTAATTTTGTCCAGAACAGTCTAAAATGCTTTCTATTGAAAGTATGTCAGATCCACTGAACTAAACACCACTGAATTTTTAAACAACTGTCTCCATGTTTTGAAATGGAGAATTGAGCATTTTAGACTTTATGCTTTCAGAACATGTATATGGGGCTATCTCATATATTACACTGCATGAAGCCTAAATTTGTTCAATAGAGGAGTAACAACTACTCCTATCTTTCTTCTTCGTGGTCTCTGTGAATGCACACTAATGGGTTTAATCTGTGCTTGCACAGAGGTCTCCTGAATGTTCCAAAACTTTTTTGCTACGTTCGTGAAGAACCTTCCCCCTAGCCCACGAGGTCTGTCCGCCCTCACATTTACCTCAGTTCCTTTTTGCCACCGCCGCATGAGGTCTGTCTTCGGTCGAGCTGCTGCATTGCTCGTCGTTTTTCTATGAAAGAATATTAGGACCATTTTAATTTCTATTTTGGACTTTTCTTAATAACATATATCGCTAGATAAGTACTGTACATTATTTGGACTTTCCTCCTTTTTTACCTTCCTGCCATTTATCGCACACCTTCCCCCCTTCAAAAAGTGCACGTTGTGTGCTAGTAAAATTCCCCTCACAGACGGCCACAACATCTGCTTCTTCTGTCTAGGGGAAGTCCACCAAACCTCATCTTGCCAGTTTTGTAAAAACCTCACAAAACAGGCTTTGAAATTAAGGCAACAAAGATCTTTTTTTGTGGGGAAAAATCCCTTAAACCTCAGACAATTGCCTTGCCTCATAGAGCGCAACCTCTCACACAATCTCCAGCACCATCAACAGTTTCTTCCTCCACTAAATCTAAGACTACTCCTAAATCAAAATCAAAACCACCAAATTCGGACGCGTCGATACTGGTACCAAAATCTCCTTCTATATCAGACACTTCTAAGTTTAAAAAGCGTAAAAAAAGCTAACACCCTTCTTCAAGAGTCATCTTTGCAACAACTTCCACTACAAGATCAACCTACGGTGACTACTGCATCCCCAGAAAACGTTCTAATACCGCTATCCAGTCAATTGGAGTCACCTATCCTTGCTGTGTTTCCAACATCTCCGATTAATACCTCAGAGGCTGCAGTGATTCCCAGATCACTGCACTCCAGTCCAATATCGACAGTACAATCAGTGTCTGCTTATGAATCCAATCATCAATATCAAGCACCCAATGTTTGTCCTCTCTGCAAGAGGTTGAAGAAAGAACATCATACATCTCAAATATAACTTCATGGTGCCGATACCGTGAAACTCGCTACCGCATCTGGGTCTTTCACATCTCAAGAGCCGTATGGAAGACATAGGCGAACTAAGAGGATCAGTCTTTACAAGCCTCCAGACTACCATGACCCAGCCTATGGAAGCTCTCGTTACCGAGCATATTGGTACTATTCTGCCGAGCTCGAATTCCATCCAGAAGGACAACACCATCACCAACATTACCATGATTCTGATTATTCTGAATCATCGATATCGCCCAGATATAGATCACGATACCATGACAGCTATCGATCCCGATCATCATTAGATGACAATTCCATTTCATCTGCCTCGATACAGAAATATAAAACAAAGAAGCAAAGGACTGAACATCCTGAGCCCAGCCACACAGTACCGAAAAATATCTCGGTACCAGCCCAACAACAAGAAATTCAACAACCTTCATTACAGACCTCTACAACCGATACAGTCCCACAGACAGGAGCCATCAGTACCAAGCCCTCACATAAAGGGCATACCAAGGATCGTACGTCCACGATATACACTCAAATGACCCCAGTTAAACTACAACATACTCGATCGAAAACAGCTCCTAACCAATCTTATCCCACTTCCTCCACCTTGTCCTCTCACTCTCTTTCATCTGATTCCTCTCACTTGGATATAGATCAAGAACCACTACCCAACCTGCCTACTCCAGATTTGGATACCCTTACCAATAATCCACCCTCTCCTTCTGACAATTTTTCTCTTATTCGCAATTAGTTCTTAGAATAGCCAAGGCCATGGAACTTGATATTCAACAGCCATCACAAATACAATCTGATAAGGTGTTCGAGGACATTAATGAGGAACAAACTCTGCCCCCCAGCATGAGCTTCATTCCATCTCTACTTGAGCTCACCAAACAAACATGGTCAAAGCTATCCTCAACATCACAGATGTCCAAGAAGGTGGAAAACTTTTATAAAACACATGGTGATAATATTGTATTTCTATTCAAACACCCACCTTCAAACTCACTGATCGTTGACGCCACACAGAACGCACGCAACCGATCCAGCGCAACCCCTAATAACAAAGAAGGCAGAAAACATGACATAGCAGGTAAAAGGAACTATTCTCTAGCCTCTTTTCGTCCTTCAGGATGCCAACTATATTGCAGCTACAGGAACATACCACCGCTACTTGTGGAATAAGGCACTCCCATCTCTCCAATCTGCCATGGGTGAATACAAGGCAAAAGGCCTCACATTTCACCAGGAGGCAATAGCCCTTGCACGTCAAGAGAGGTTTACAGCTAGGCTGATCATTGATGCCTCTTCTCGGTAGTTGGTTTCTGCAGTAGCATTACATACTAGATATGCATGGTTGAGATCTACACATATCCCAGATGACATCAAAATGAGAATAGAGGACTTACCATTTGATGTCTCTGGTCTTTTCGATCAGAAGACAGATGAGATATTATAGAACCTACAAAAATTAAAGAAAACGGCCAAATCATTTGACTATCAACAATCATATTACAAGCCTCAGTGACCACAGTAGCATCACCCATATAACTACCAACAATAGAGACCATATTCTGATAGAAACAAGTACTCAAACCAACCAACTTCTCCATCTCAGTCTTGGCAGATATCCCAAAGACCACACACAAAACAACATTTCGGTCACTCACAAAAAAAGAGCAAAAACACAACTTTTGATTCCTCGTATTCCAGACCTGAAGAAAACATCTCCTCCTTCAAACACTTGCTTCTCTACTTACCTTCCACTTGATCGATAATCACTATTGACTCACGTATACTTACAAAAAGAAAGAAATAATAAAAATATATATTATATATTTCCTTTACCTTGCAAACAAGAACTATGTCTTCTCATCTTAAACATGCTATGCTTCCCATCCCTGCTCTGTTAATAGGGAACTTAACTAGTACATCATATGAAAGAGACTTCACATGGGAACATTGGAATGGATGTTACGACTCTCAAAATTTTTTTTACTTCAATCGATTTACCTGATATATATCACCTCATCACTATACACCAGAATCATCGAAATCCCTCAATCAGACTTATGAAAATCAACCTTTTCCACAACAGCAGGAATACTTATCGAGTGCATGGCACTCATACTAACTTATTCACATACAGTATTTCGTTAATTTAGTGTTCAACTACATAGAACACCGATTCGCGGCCTGTCAGACTCAGTCTCAGGAGGTTGCAGATAAACAGACAGTTCTCTTCTCCTACCGAATCCACTATGAAAGCCAACAGAGGAAAATTAACTCTCACTTATACCAAAAAACAAACAAACAAACTCAGAATTGTCCTCTACTCCTGTCACTATCCCAGTGTAACTACACAGTCCCTTAATGCCCCTTAGACACTATGACGTCAACAATCCTTCACTCAAGATTAAGCAAAGACTGCTCACTCCAAATTTAACATTTCATCTTCTCAATCTATCAACACATCCATCAGCAAGATGACTTCTCATCACTCTACATCTCCCACCACAGCTATGGTGATGAAACAAACAACAATTCTATGATTCCCCACAACCGCTTATGCAGGTCTCTTGGTACAGCACTACCATCTGATGGGATGTGTATCGCGAAAATTTGAAACACCACTCAATGTCTCTACACGTTACAACCTGCAAGTAAGGCACTCACAGCATTCAAACCTATTACCACGACAACATTACCTAAATCACAATAGACATCACTTCTGCTCCTATTGTATCAACATACAAGGAGGCACACATTTCCTTCTAATCTGCTATCTTCGAATACAAATTTCAAAATCAGGACATCAAACGCCATGTACTTCCCATGTCTTAAACATACAGACAACCAGCCAAAGACATGCCCGGCGTAATCTGTTCTCTCATCCACAAGAGAGCCCTTGACCAGGAAGTTTTCCTCGTCCATGTAAAGCCTGAACTTACCCTGAAATCCATGTCCTTCTAACACGCCAATATACAATCATTTATCCAACATTAGCCATTGGCCCCTGATCCCTATGGGACTACTTCATGGTAATTTCAGACATCTCACCCCATATATCCATTGTTGTCTATCACTCTCTTTCTACACATGATATCCAAAGTCATGAAACATCGTACCAATATAGGTGGATGGTTCCACAGTAAACAGGACAAGCCTGCCTCACCATATTATAGGCAATGGCCAACTACTCCCATCCACCCCCTATACCTCACCTCTTCATACGACACCATGGCAAGACGTGTCATCCGCATCTACACCACCTCTACCTAACAACTTTGGAAAATTTCTTTGATGGACTCTGCTTTGGCATTTCACAAGGTGAAAAGCATCCCTTAAATTGGCACTTCAACACAATCTATTTATCAAGGTTTACCTTTCAAACATTTTACCATACTACCACAGTATTCGAATGTTACAATGATGTCGAAAATCCAACCAGAAACCTTTTCAAAGGTCTGACTAACTTTCAACAGTCAATACCTCCACCTACCCCTCAATGATCTCTGCCCACAGTGATAAGCTGGTTCTTACACCCTACCTTTAATTCAAAACCAGCACAACTGCCAGCAATGAAGATGGAATCCCCATCTCTCAACCTATAGATTTACTGATCTTCTTCCATTCCCTGCTACTGATCGACAAAGATCACTACACATATCACATGACACAGGGACTCACATTCTCTGTTCTTCAGGACCAGCCTTTTTCAGAAGACCTGAACACCATTTATGCTACAGTACCACATGCAGAAAGATCTGAAATATTCTCAAAAGCAATGCTCTGATGGATTATTTCCAACTCTCAATTGACATTTCAGCATGTCAAGCAACCTCTACCTTTGAGGCTTATTTGGCAAGGGTGATAGCCTTTTCCGCAGTGTTCCTACACGGACTTCTGTCGTTGGGCATCCCAAAGCTGCCACTTGGGCAATACCTGCCATGCTTGTCCCACGTCACAAGCTGAGCTTAACAGCCAGAGACAATGCTACCTCTGCCAGAGCTTGGCTTTCTTCACTTCTTCCGTGACGTCCCTCTGCCTTTAAAGTAAGCTGGTTAGTCACCCATTAGTGTGCATTCACAGAGACCATGAAGAAGAAAGAGAGGCTACTTACCTGTAACTCTGGTTCTTTGAGTAGTCATCTGTGAATTCACACTTCCTGCCCGTCCTCCCTTCTGTCCGTCACTCCTGTATCCTTTGATGTAGCGGCGGGCAAACCTTGGAACTGAGGTAAATATGAGGGCGGGCAGACCTCATGGGCTGGGGGTTGGTCCTTCATGAATGTAGCAAAAAAAGCTTTGGAACATTCTGGAGACCTCTGTGCAAGCGCAGATTAAACTCATTAGTATGAATTCACAGATGACCACTCGAAGAACCAGAGTTAGAAGTAAGTAACCTCTCTTTCTGTTACATGTACTCACATTTCATGAGTTTATTTGCATTTGTACATGTGTACTTAAAGCCATAAGTATATGGTTCACAGTGGCCTTCAGTCTGGATCTGGTCAGATTACAGAGGCATGATAAAGATGACTCCTAAATTAATTTTCTTTCTCTGTTACATTACATTTTAAATATTTTACACCATGAATCCCTGTCCTAGTTTCGTTGTCCCTCCTTTTAAAAAGCTCTTCCAAAATAGTTCTGCATTGAACTGCAGCTTCTTTTGCACTCCTTATTAAACAGTAGTATCTCAGAATTGTTCTTAACAGTAATATTTTTACCCATTTTCTGATATTTCCTCCCAGCCCTTAAAAAATATCAAAAAGAATCTTGGATTTTTGGCACTTCGATTTACTGACACTAAGTATTTTATCTCAAAGACTGGAGCTTTCTGTTTAATAAAATAGTGATTTGGATCCTGAATGCTCTGAGCAGAATTGCAGTTACACAAAGGAAATTCCCATTTATCCTTCCTCCCAGGGTCTCTACAGTTTCTTTTAGAAAAGCCACCATTAGAGGTAGGCTACAGTAGGAAGGGGAGTGGGGAGCCGAAGCAAGAATAGGAATGCCTCCTTTTTGTACAGGAGAACCACCCATCCATTTTGGAGCACCATAGTAAATGATGCACTTCATTTCCTACACAGGGCATTTACTGTGAAAAGAAATAGAAAATATTACTTCATTAAAATTGTTTGCATCATTTTAACTGCAGTAAGCTGTGGTGAGGATTCTAACTTCATGTGGTATGGCACACAAAAAATACTATATAGTCTTATGTTGTACTAAATTCTACTCATCATTTGCTCAACAGATCTATGTAAAATACAGCAAACATATGCATTGTCACTTCTAATGCTCAAACTATTTCAAAAGGCAATAACATTTTTCACAAAATAATCTATCTAAAGCTTGCATTTTTAGGTTAGTAACCCCTATTTAATAGAGTGCAACCATGTAAAAGTTACAGTTAAAGTTAAGACATATGGCTAATAGTTTTCTCCAGAACACATTATATTACACATCTTTTTTATTGTGGGGCAGTATAGAAAAGAGCAGTAACTTTTCTAACTGCACTGTGACACTCTAATGAAAGCTGCTTCACAGAAGCTAGGCTTCTATTTGGGATTGCTTTGTAGACAGTGTGACAAACCCAGACCTACTGGGATATGCCACAGTTTCACTAAGCTGCCACCAACCATTCCCTATAAGAAGTCACACAGACCAGGGATGGATTTTTAACAAATAAAAGAACAAGGTTTATTAAATAACACACAGGGAAAAATAAAATGATCAAGTGAATAAGATACAGTAACGTGGCTTAGTCTCAATCATACATACACACAGTTTGGTTCACACAGAACACTTAACTTGAAGCACAGACCCTGAACCTATCAGTTCTGGCTAACCATACAGACACCTGAACCTATCAGGTTGGTACTGACTGACACACAGTAGTACCCTGTCTGACACACAGACTCCCACTCAAGCTTCTTCTCTCAGCTCTCCTCCAGCTTCTCCTAACTTCTCCACACACGCTCCACATATATATACAGTACAGCCCCTCCTCCTGATGTCCCGCCTTCCACTCCCCATAGGATGGAACTTTCCCTCCAAACCCATGACAGACAGGTAACATCAGTGCTGTATGTAACAGACAGTTGTAGACATTATGGCTTTGAAGGTGTATTCATGCATCCTTTTACACGTAAGTTACAGTTCCACCATAGAAGGAGTAAAAGAAAGGGAATGAAGATATTAGTTTACAGTCACATGCCTATGTTGTTTGGTTGGATACCTGAAAGCCCTGTACAAGACCATATATATTTTATATGCTCATCCACACCTCCAGTGTATCACCTCATGTAGGATATTACAACACTACTTTCAGCCCAATGCTTGGAGCACTAGGCCACTAGGACAGAAGTGAAGAAGCACTGGTTCTTCCAGATGCTGTTGCAGTTCAACTCCCTTCAGCTCCATTCAGCATGGCTAGTGGTCAGAACTGATGGGAGTTGCAGTTCAACAACATATAGAGGGTCAGAGGTTCTCACCCCAGCCCAAAGTGTATCCTGAAACTTTAGGAGAGTAGCCTGCATTAAATTCCACAGCTTTGCATCCAGCTGAAGAATTCTGGTGCAAAATAATTACCAAGTATGTTGGTAACTTCCATTGTATTAAACAATAGACATGATCTGGCCTTTCAGAATTCCAGAGGAAATGAAAGCTTTGTTCTTGCAATTACTAGAAGTTCAATGATTTTTCCTCTTGACAGATTGTCTAAACTTTCGCAACTATCAAAGAAGATCCAAGTAAAAAGTCTTGCTTGAAAATGTTTAGGCTTTAGGATATTCTGCCCTTTCTACTGCTATTATCATTTTTGTTTGAATATTTTATTTAAATGTATTTCATCTTCACTTGGCCTAAAGGTTTGAAGATAATGAATGAATGACTACCCTTTCTGCATTTGGTATCCTCTACTTGTGTTATTCTACTGCCCCATCACCCACAGATAAAGCAGCCACCCTTAATAAAACTGCTTGTTCTGCATAATGTTTTTAAATGATTTTATGATATTTGTTATATTGTGATGTTTTTATTATGTATGTAAGCTGCCCCAAGTAGACTTTGTCTAGGGGGAGCGAGGTAAAAATCTAATAAAAGTAAAAAGTAAGTAATAATACAGTAATTGGCTGCTGCTTCTAGGTGCATTTATATATGCGTTGGCTTGAAATTCTGTTCCATAAGTCACACCACATAAGGCTGATGATACGTGGCATTTTTTAGGAAATTAAAAAATCTTTATTGTCCCTCCCCTCAGGTCCCAAGGCTTTCATGCAATTCATTTCATTACAGTGAAGGTTTTGGTGGCAGCAGGATTGGGGGGGGGGTTAATTTCTGACAGTTGTTTCCACTGCAGTACCCTGTTTCCCCCAAAATAAGACCTAATCTGAAAATAAGCCCTAGTATAATTTTTCAAGATGCTTGTAATATAAACCCTACCCCCAAAATAAGCCGCAGTTAAGTGAAACCCCATCCTCCACCATTGTACAGCAACCAGAAGAAGATGCAATTTGAATAAATGTAGATTGTTGTACATGAAAAAAAAAATAAAACATCCCCTGAAAATAAGCCCTAATGCATTTTGGAGCAAAAATTAATATAAAACCCTGTCTTATTTTTGGGAAAACGTGGTAGTATAGTCATTCCAGCAGCAGTGATTTTTGGAAAATAAAGACTTCCTCCATCCCATGACCCCCAACAACTTCCTCACAATAAAAAAGATTCCATGAAAGACTTGGATCTTTTGTGGAGGAGAGGAGGACGAAATTGGGCCTTTTAATTTCCAAAAAATTGCAGCAGCTGATGAATTTATCAGTCTTACAGGACAGAACTTATGGAACAGGATTTCAACCATCATATCAATTGCAAAAAGACTAAAATGTTCTGATATTTATTCATAGTGAACCCTGGAGGTTGGGCACCGGCTTCTGTATTACGAGCTGTAGCAAAACGAGAATATCCCAAATTCTTAAAGAGGTTCACATCATATGTGCAAGAGAAAACAGCAGGAAAGCCTATTCTGTTCTAGTGTTGACAGGTATGTGATATTTAAATGTAAATTTTCCTATATACTGTAATTTTGTTGTCATTGGATGTAACCATTGTGTATGCAGTTACAGTATATTGAATTAAAATGGTTAAGTAGGTTGTTTGAAATCTTGCTATGATGTTGTGCAGGTGAAGGATTTTTAATTGATTGAGGAGAATAAAGTTTATGAAGCAGCATTATATTTGCAGGATGTTGCTCTTGACACCAAAAATGTCAACATCCACTATTTTTCTGAAGGATCTTGAAGGGTGTTTAAAAATTGGTGCATTTTGATTCCTTGTGCTTAGTATAAAAGTTTAAAGTATAAATACTAGTTTTACTCTCTGCAAGACTCAACAGTGGATTGCTTCAGCTCTCAAGAATGATAATTTTGTAATAGAGAAATCTACCGTATTTGCCGGCGCACAAGGCGACCGGCCGTATAAGATGACCCCTCCAACAGGAGGAGGAGGAGGAAGAGGGGAAATGGGCGAGTGGCGGGCGAGCAAGCGCGTGGCTGGCTCAGCGGCACGGGGCGGCGGGCAGCCCGGCAGCAGCTCGGAGGGGGAAGAGGAAAAGGGAAACGGGTGGGTGGCGGGCGAGTGAGCGTGCGGCTGGCTCAGCGGCGCGGGGCGGCGGGCAGCCCGGTGGTGGGCTCTGGCCGCTGAAGCATGGCAGGCTGTGCTTCCCTCCCTCCATCCAGACCGAGTGCCTGCCTGCCGCCTGCCTTCCTCCCCGGCCAGCGCGGCCCCACGTCATTCAGAGCACCCGGCGTACAAGACGACCCCCCCCACTTGGAGGCATGTTTTTTGGGCTCAAAAAGTCATCTTGTACGGCGGGAAATACGGTATTACAAGTGAGAGAAGGCATCTTAATAAAAATCTCTCAGCAGACCCAGAAATGGTTTGTAAACATGTGGTGGCTAATAGATCATCCTTGCCATCTGCCTGAGAAACCATGGGGCATTAATAATATTAAGCTCTAGAATAATCTCTTCTTTTTGTCTTTTCTTGTGTATCAGCTTTTTCTATTGTGCATTCAAAGCCTTTAAAGATAGCCTTTAATTGCTTTCAAGAAGGTACTCTGTACTCTCTTAAGAAATTTGCTTATGAATGACAAATTTGCAGAGGAGAGATATAGAACTTCAAGGGTTTTATCTTTCATGACACTGTCTAGATTTTGGTGGCAAAGTGATTGGAACTGAAAATTCCATTTTTTTTCTCATTAGCAATTGGAACAAGGCTGTGTGAACATTCCATGTTGGAGAGATGAACCAAAATGAATGCTCCAAACTGGAACGTAGGATCTACAGTCTTCTGGCCCAAGTCCTGGATTCTCTACTCAATTGAAGAAATACTGCAATGCCATAAAGCTGAATTTTCACTGTCTTCTGCTAGCTCACTTTGCTGAATTGGTGTGTAATTATAAAAATACATGTGTTGATACATGTATATGGCTCTACTTTATTTGCTTGCTTTAGAGGAGAAAAATACAACTTTGGGTCACCACCTTGGTTTATTGCTTTAACTTTTGAATAAATTTAAAAGCTTTTGTTTACTGTTGAACTTCATATGCCACTCGCACAGCTCTAGTTTTTGTGTATGTCTAAAAAAGCACAAAAGACAAATGCACATATAGCGTACTGTATGTGCTTTATATACACAAAAACCTGTGTGTTGTAACTTTTTTCCCCTTTTGGGTTTTCAGTAAACTCTGTGTGTCCTTCTGGAGGGGATTTGTGTTTGCTTTGTATAATCACAGTTCATTGCTGCTGGTTTCTATGATGAATCATCTTATGTAAAACTTCCCTTAATACATGAGGGCTGTCAAGGTCCTTATGACTTTGCCTTTTCTATGGTCCTACTCCTATGAAGACCTCCTGCGTTCTGATGGAGTAGGTATGAAAAGCTTTATCTTTTCCCCAGATATCTTTATATTTCTATTGTATTTTTTAGTTGTGTGATATGTGCTACAGAAACTTGGTTATGGAACATGATCCAGAAATTTCTGTACAAAGGGCATAGCTGCCAGAAAATGCTACTGCAGTGTCTAACCAGGATAGTGGATGAGGGCATTTTCTTGCAATTAGATTTACTGAAACGGGGAGAAATTACATTATGGTAAGAAGGCAACATTCCCAGTCTTGGAGAAAGAGCAAATATGCTAGTATCCAGTGCTGCATGTTTGTTTTTTCTGTTTTATTAAAGCTGTGCTATGAAGTTCATGTACAAAACCTTTCATATGTAACATTTCCCCCATGATCTGCACTGTAAGATATAAAAATCCACAAAACAATGCAAAGTTCCCCTTAGTTGCTGTGAGAACTAACCTTTCAAGGATCTGCCTGCCTGTTTTTACGATAATACCAAGAAAAAACATGAGGAATGGAACTGTGGAAAAGGCTGGAGGTCCTGTGGAGGAATTCCCTGACAAAATGGAGATTATTTAGATGACTTTTTTTAGCTGTTAGATCAGTTTGTGTATATAGAGAGACAAGATTTGGATATATTTTTGGAAAGAAAGCAGAAAGACTTATTTCATATAGAGTAGCTGATGTCTGAAAATGAAGACAGTACTTTTTAATGATACAGCTGATGAAAATCTTTGAGGTTGGAAGCAAATTATTTCAGGTATGGCTGGTGTGTCCTTGGTATGCTGTAGACACACTAAAGATATATGCACATACATTCAGATTTCATGCTTTTTAGTCTCCTTTATTTGCCTTTCTCTAAATAACGTGCATGGAATATGCCTTATTACAGAGTAACTCTGATCATGATTTGAAAATGTAGAAAAGTGCCTATGGGGTAATGTGAGTAAGGCAGATAAGATGAGAAATTAGATCTGTTTACTATGTCAGCAGTAAGCATTTTATATACACTTTCGTATACCTCAAATTTGTTTAATCTTTTTACAATCAACTGGAAGAAAATTATTTGTTCACCATAGCCACTGATGGGAACTTCAACAGTGAAATAATGCTTAGATCCCCGGACATAAATTTAACAATTTGCCATTTCTGGTAACGTTCTTGGACCATATGCAAGTAACCTTAATTTAATTGGATAGCTTTATTTTGCAAAAAAGAGAGGAAAGTTTACAAAGCAGTATATAACTCTTAATATCATTAGTTGCATTTGCACTAAATGTGATGTATTTTGCAATTCTGTAAATAAAAATTACACTAAAGATACTATTTGTAAAGGGTACATTTTACTTTTAGACAAGTGGTGTCACTTCATTGGAGCTAGCCCTGCCCAATTGATCATGCGAGACTTCTTGGGATTTATAACAAGAGTTAAATGCAACATAAAAGCATTTCTTAATAAGTGAACAGGCTTGGTCAGTAAATGCCAAGTGTTGCACCCTTTCTTCCAGAATAGGATATATTTTTTTTCTTCCCCACCTTTTGATTGGCTCTTTTAAATTAATCATTTCATCCTCTGATGTCCTTTCTGCCAATTGGCAAATACTCCTGTCACTATTAATTTAGTTTTGTATGAACTGATCTATACATTTACTCTTTGAATACAGAGCCTTCTTCATAGGAGGCTTTATGTTCTAAGCATCTGTTGCCTTGAAAGCCTGAATCTGCCACTCCTCAAAAATAATTCTATCAAATGCTGGACTTCACTCCTTTTTATTTAGTTGCGGTTGGAGGTGGGGAGAGAGTCAGGAAACAAGGGCTGTTCATTTCTACCAGATTTTAAAATCATGTTTGTTTTTTAATTATTTTTTGCAGTCTGACTAAATCTTATACAGTATATATTTTGGGGTTAATGCTCTTTCACCTTGAAAGAAGTTACTCCTAATTTTATTGGGCTGAGCTGGTTCATAAGAAGTTGTACTGGTTCTCCTTAATCAAATTGTCAAGTCAAACTTTCACTGATCTTTCACCACCTGTTGTATAGATGACGCTGTATTTGAGTTGCCACTGTTCATCTACATACTCAAACATGAATCAGTTTTTAGAGTATCTTGAGTGTGTAGAGTGTGACTGTTCTATGATAGCTTTATGATCCTGTTAACTTTAAAGAAAAACTAAATGGAGATGGCTCTTCCATGTTACAATCACAAATTTAAAAACCAGTATTTAAAAATGAAAAGTATTAAAAGATATTATAAACCAATTTCTGCTTTTGTATTTATTTTTCCTAGTCAGAAATCAAGTTATTTCATTTCTTTAAAATTAGTATGAATGTAAAAAGGGTTAAATAACAGTTGTTCATTTATACTAGTAGAGGTGCTTTGGAGTTTAGATTAACAGAAATTGAGATAAAGCTTTATTGACATTATGCCATAACATAAACTCTGAACATGGTATGTGTCTATTGCCTGTGCAATTTATAAAACTAGAAAATGGGCAGGTCTTGTATGTGGTCATCTGTGTGTGCCAAACATCCAGGATGACCTGCTAGGAAGCCTCGTGGCGCAGTGGTTAAAACGCTGTACTGCAGCTAAAACTGTGCTCACGACCTGGGGTTCAAATCCCAGGTAGCCGGCTCAAGGTTGACTCAGCCTTCCATCCTTCCGAGGTCGGTAAAATGAGTACCCAGCTTGCTGGGGGGGGCAATGTATAGCCTGTATAATTAAAATTGTAAACCGCCCGGAGAGTGCTTGTAGCGCTATGGGGCGGTATATAAGTCCAATAAATAAATAAATAAATAAATAAATACATGTTGTGGAAGTATGCACGTTAGAGAGCAAAGCCAATGCTCCTTGTATCCCTGCATACAGAGAGTCGATTCATCAGTATTAAGTATTAATAGTGCTTTTAATTGAGCTATATGGTGAATGTAAGCTTAACCATTATTTCCTGACAACTCACTTTGGTGCTGTTTGGGCCAGAGCACACATCTGAACTGACAGTTTTTATTTTTATTCCCATATTCCAATGGCATAACAGGCCCTCCATGGAACTTGATGAATACGGGTACCAGAGTTTACTCTTACTATAGAGACATTTTCCTCTTCCTTGTCATTGAGACTCTCACAAGGGCAAAGAAAGAGAAGCATGTGATTGAGATGCTGAATGCAGGGACTGTATTGTTACTGTCTTCTGCATGTGCTTGTGCATTCTACCTCAACTGCAGGAGCAAGAAAGCATCAGTGGGCTACACCAGTGCCTCTCCCTTCAGTTTTGCCATTGTAGTGTGGCCAGTGCTCTTATTTATTTGTTGGTTGGTTGGTTGGTAGTTAGGATTTATTTGTTGGTTGGTTGGTTGGTTGGTAGTTAGTTAGGTAGGTAGGTACCCCACCTATCTAGACCGAAGTCTACTCTCAGTGGTTAACATTTAACAACGAGTAGACATGGTCTAGAGGGGCGGGGTAAAAATCAAATAAATAAATAAAATAAATAAATACAAATAATGACAATATAAAATAGAACAACAATAATACAACAAGAGATGGCAATGAAGTAAGTTAGGTATTGACAGGAGGGAAGGCCTGCCTAAAGAACCAGGTCTTAATTTTGCTCTTAAAAACACCCAGAGAGGGGGCCAGGCGAATTTCCGGGGGAAGACTGTCCAAAGGTGAGGGGCCACTGCCGAGAAGGCCCAATTCTTTCTCTCCAGGCCTCAGTGTTAGGCCCCACAGCCGCCCATCCTGGCTAAAGCGAGTGATTTAGTAGATCTATGTGGAAGAAGGCATTCCGCTAGATATTGAGGTCTTAAACCGTTTAGGGCTTTATATGTCGTCATTAACACTTTGAAATCAATGTCGAAACGAACAAACAGCCAATGCAGGGAAGCCAGAGTGGGGGGATGTATGTTGATGTTTTCTCATCCCAATGAGAAGTCTGGCCGCCGCATTCTGCACCATTTGAAGCTTTTGCACCAGTCTAAGAGATAGCCCCACGTAAAGTACATTACAGTAGTCTAATCTTGAGACTACAAGCACATGGACCAGAGTGGTGAGCGCCCTGGCATCAAGATAGGAATGCAGCTGGGCAATCTGCTAAAGATGGAAGTAGGCGGTGCGGACCACTGATGCTACCTGGGTTTCCATAGTAATCGCTGGATCCAGATAGACTCTCAAGCTGCAAACCTCACTCTTCATGGTGAGATTCCCCCCCCCAAAAAAAGAGAGGGAGTTTTCCAAACCATCAGTGGCGGGACCGCCCACCCTCAGGACTTCTGTCTTGTCCGGATTCAGCCTCAGAGCATTCACCTCCATCCACTGCAATACAGCTTCCAGACAGCGCTGAAGGTACAAAATGGCATCCACTGTTGTTGGGGGGAAAAGCAGATGTAGAGCTGGGTGTCATCAGCATACTGATTACATTAAGCCCGACATCCCCTGAAGACCTGGCCCAGGAGCCTCATGTAGATATTAAACAGCATTGATGAGATATTCGAGCCCTGTGGGACCCCACAATTGAGGTTCCATGGAACCAATACACTCTCCCCAAGCTGTACTCTCTGAGGACAGTCCTCCAAGAAGGAGCAGAGCCAGGCAAGTGCCAGACCACCGATTCCCAACTCAGAGAGCCTCCCCAGGAGGATCTCATGGTCAACAGTATCAAAGGCGGCTGAGATATCAAGGAGGACCAACAGAGACATTTTGCCCGGCAGCCTTCCTCACCAGGTCATCAAACAGGGCGACAAACACACTTTCTGTGCCATGGCACAGCCTGAAGCCCAACTGAAATGGATCCAGGGCATTGGTTTCATGTAGAAGGGCCTGAAGCTGACTGGCCACCACCCTCTCTACCACTTTGCTAAGGAAAGAAACATTGGCAACGGGCCTATAATTGCCAATGTTGTCTGCCACCAAGCTCGGTTTCTTCCTAATAGGCCTAATGACTGTCTCCTTGAGGGCAAGAGGGACCTTGCCCTCCTGGAGAAACCCATTAATTACAGTGGCCCATTCAGTTCTTATAGGCCTGGCTGCTTTTATTAGCCAGGCCGGGCAAGGGTCAAGGGAGGAGGTGGTGGTGCGACAGCTATCAAACACCTTGTCTACCATATGTAACATCACAGGCTGAAAGAGATTAAGTCTCATGGAGCAAGGCAGAGCACTAGACGTCTCTGCTCGATCTAATGTACAGGTATTCAAAAAAATGAGAAAGATCCTGGCGGACGGCCTCCACTTTAGATTTTTTTTTTTTAATGCTGTAAATTGGTCAGGTGAAATACTAGTCGGAGGCCTATCACTAAGACCAATTCTGGATAGATCACAAACTATACAGAAAAGTTCCACCTGCTGATTTGAAGCTTCGCTTATCTGGACAGCAAAATAAGCTCGAGTGGCAGCCCTTACCCTGGTAAGGTAAAGGTTAGTCGGGATCCTAACAGCTTTCCGATTATAATCTGTCCGGGATCCTAACAGCTTTCCGATTATAATCCGTCGGGTTTCATCTCCAATTGCACTCTACCCTTCTCCTATTCTGCTTCATAGAGCTTTCTCCTTTTTTTGGATACAGTGGATCAAGCAGAGATGTCCAGTGCTCCGCCTTACCTGGTGATTCTCAATCTCTTTCAGCCTGTGATGCCAGATATTGTGGACAAAACGCTAGACCGCTGTCAGGCCACCACCTCATGTCTTGACCCTTGTCTGGCCTGACTAATCAAAGCAGGCAGGCCTATAACAACTGAATGGGCTACAGCAATAATTAATGGGCCTTTCCTTGAGGGCAGGGTTCCCCCCGCCCTCAAGGAGACACTCATTAGGCCCATTAGAAAAAAACTGAATTTGGCGGCGGATGATATTGGCAACTATAGGCCCATCGCCAATGTTTCTTTCATTAGTAAAGTAGTCAAGAGGGTGGTGGCTGATCAGCTTCAGGCACATTTGGATGAAACAAATGCCCTGGATCCGTTCCAGTTGAGCTTCAGGCCGCGTCATGGTACAGAAATGGTATTGGTCGGCCTGTTAGATGACCTATAGAGGGAGGCCAACAGAGGGAAAACGTCCCTGTTGGTCCTCCTCAATATCTCAGCCGCCTTTGATACCGTCGACCACAGTATCCTCCTGAGGAGGCTCTCCGAATTGGTGGCCTGGCGTTTGCCTGGCTCCAATGCTTCTTGGAGGACCATCCTCAGAGCGTTCAGCTTGGGGAAGGGGACTCAACTAAAAGCCTTGGAGATTCCAATAGTGCCGTGGAGATGAAATCCGCCAACTCTGGTAAGTAAATGGCTGGGTTGTGGGGAGCACAGTAACCCAGCAAGATCCCAATACTATCCCTGGCCCCAATCACCACGTGTAGGGCCTCAAGACCTGGCGTCGCCACCACAGAGCACCTAACAAACTCTCGAGTGTTTTTGTAGACAATGTCTACTCCCCCACCTCATCCCTCCAGTCTACCCTGGTGTTGGACTGTATAACCTGGAGGGCAGGCAAGAGTCAAGGGAACACCCCCTTCCTTGACCATCTGAGTTTCGGTTATGCATGCCAGGTCCTCTTCCAGGATAAGGTATTGGATAATCTGGGATTTGTTGGATACAGACCTGGCATTCAACAACACCAGATTTAGAGTGGAGGGACGACTGGTCTGACTACCTCAAATCTGCCGGTTGGTCACAGTGCCAGAACAGTCAACAGCCTTCAAACATGTGTTCACCGTTCTTATGAGTAGGGACTGTGCCATCGACGTATCTCCCTCTACCCGTAATCACTCGGATGTTCAAAGGACCTTATACAGAAACTGCTTCCCTCTCATGCCTAGGAAAAGGTGGACAGCTTTACAGTTCTCCTCTTGAGTAGCTCTGGAAATGTACTCTTCCATAAGAGATTAAGTTTAGCAAGAGGATTGTGCATTGTATGCATGTACACTTGTCTGACGCTGCCACATATTACATTACACACATCATAGTCTGCAGTCTTTCCCCCTCCAGCTAAATAGCAGTGCTTCAAGACTTGTAACAGAGAAGAACTCCACTGTAATTTATTTGCTCCTTTTCTTCTAGGAAGGTGGGTGAAGATGACAAATTATACCATTGCCTGTTACATTTATTTATTTTTTAAAACTGCAGTAATTCAACCCCTTCACGAATTGCAGCCTTGTCATGGCAAACGGGCTTGAGTAATTCATAGAAGCTATGGGCTATGCCGTGCAGGGACACTCAAGATGGACAGATCATAGTGGAGAGTTCTGACTAAACGCGATCCACCTGGAGCAGGAACTGGA